TTTTTGGTCCTGGGAATCAAACTCAGGGCCTCATGCTAGCCTGGGAGGTGCTGTTCCACTGAACTACATCTCTGGCCCCCATAGCTTTTTCCCCCTAATCATACTATACAGTAAGATGCTTGCCTTTCATATGTTCTTTTATGATTCTGTTTTTTTTGTTTTGTTTTTTTTTTTTAATGTTATATCACTGTTTGCCAGAATCTAACGGTCTGGAGTGATCCTCCTGCCTCAGTCTCCTGAGTTTATAGGATAACGTGTACACTCTTACACCTGGCTTTATATGCTCTTGATAGAAGCTTCAGCCTTTCCAAAGATAACTTTTTTTTTTGGCATGTATTTTACCACATCACTGTTGACCTCTGCAGGTCAATTCCCTTGGCTGTCCCTGGACAGTAGTTTTAGTTTCTGTAGTAGTTTTGGTTATTTTTTGGTTGGTGAGACAAAATACCCAATGTCTAAAAGTTAAAGGAGGAAAGGTTTATTTAGCTTAGTTTGTAGAGGTTTTAGTTTGTAGTTGGGTGTCTGTAATGTAGGGTGGCATGGAAGATGGGCATGGTAGAGGAAAATCAGTTCATGGCAGACAAAAGGCAGGAAGGAAGCAAACAATAAGAGACCACTGACAGCAGCTGCTCTCTTTCTGTCCCTTATATTTTATCCAGGCTACCCATCTTTAGTGTGAGTAGCATGCACACCCAGGGTGGGAGATCCTAGCATTGCACCTTGGATCAGTCCTAGCATAACATCCTTTTAATCCTGGCGTCACACGCTAGATCTAGCCATCTCCAAAAAGCTCCACCCAGGACGCTATATGAGACTGTATTGGAACATCAAGACACAAGGCATAACAATAACCAACATTTTTCTAGAGGCCTTTTTATTGTTTCTTTATATTTGCAATACCTTCATCTGTGTATTGAAAATGACAAGCTGCTGAACTGTGTGATGCCTGCCTGCGATTCCAGCTACTTGGGAGGCTGAGGCAGAAGAATCAGAAGTTTGAGAAAACTGAAAAAAAAGAAGAAAGTTTGAGAACATTGAGGGCAGAGAAACTGTCTAAATATAAAACTGTTAAAGGGGTTGGGGATATAGTTCAGTAGTAGAGAGCTTCTGTTACCTCAAGAAAAAAAAGCCACTGTATCGTCAGGAACTGTAAATTTATTGGCTCCTAGAGAAAACTTTGATCCCTTATGTTGATAAAACTGATTATATGTAAATAATTTAAGATGCAGGTTTTGATGGATAGTTTTTGTGAGATACTTGTATGGAGTGTGGTGGTAATGTATATAGTCCCAGCTACTTTGTAGCATGGGCTGGAAAGAATCAGTTTAGTCCAGGAGTTTTAGACCAACCTGAGCAACTTTGTAAAACCCTGTTTCAAATCAACAAAAAGTTGTGTGCAACCTTGGGTACAATAGGCATGTTAGTATAATTTTTTATTTTTAAGCTAAGCAATTGTAAATTTGATTGAGACTCTTTTTAACAGTGGATCTAATTTTTTCTTTAAATGTCTTTGGTGTACAGGGTCTCACCACGCAGCTCGGACTCAATGATCCTTCTGTTTTCAGCCTCCCCAGCACTGGGATTATAGGCGTGTACCACCATGCCCGGTCTTTGTGGCCAGCACAGTGTGCCTGGGACAGGACTGGCATGGCATGTAGTGCAGGGGATCGAACCTAGTCCATGCGCTTGCCTAAGCAGGCACTTATTCGGCTGAGCTATCTCTCCAGCTTGGATCTAAATGTTATATTCTGTATTTCCTGAAAATGGTACTGAGCATACCTGTAATCTTGGCTGTTCAGGGGGGAGGCAGGAGGACTGAAAATTGGAGGCTAGCCTGAGTACCTTAGTAAGATCCTGTCTCAAATTTAAAAAAAAAAAAAAGGGAAAATGGCTGAGGAGGTAGCTCAGTGGTAGAGCATTGGGAAAAATAAAACGGTTTCTAATTTTGATGGTGTTGATAAACTGAAGATTATGAAAAATCTGTCTTGTAAGAACCTTTTCTTTAAAATACTGTTTGATACACCTTTATTGGGAGTTAAAATTTCTCTTAGGGAGTGGGGAGATTGGGGCTTGAGGCCATGTTTTTATTTTTAATTTTTAAGACAGAGAGACTCCAGATTACCCAGACTAGGCTCACAATGTTTGATCCTCCTGCTTTAGCATCCCTGAGTGCTGGAAGTACAGGTGTGTGCTGCTATGCTACTTGGGTTTAGAGTGGAGCCAAATTGTTTTTGTTTTTTGTTGGTTTTGTTTTGTTTGAGACAGGGTCTCACTATGCAGCTTAGGCTGTCTTAAGCACACTTTAGTTTTTTTTTTTTTTTTTTTTTTTTTTTTTTTGGGGGTTTTTAATACACCTTTTTTTTTTTTTTTTTTTTTGGCGGAACGGGGGATTGAACTCAGGCCCTTGCACTTGACAGAGACGTGCTTATTCCACTGAGCCATCTCCCTGGCCCCTTAAGCACACTTTGTAGTCCAGGCTGGTCTCAAACTCAAAATAATAATCCTGTTTCATTGTTCTAAGTGCTGGGATTACAGGCATGCACCACCAAGCCAGGCTGCGAACCATGTTTTTAAGTTTGTACCGCTTGCTAAAACTTCACTTATAAACACTGATTAATTTTTTTCTTTACCTCCCTACCCTACTCAGCTTTCTCTCCCTCACTCCTTCTCAAGATTGAACCCAGACTTTTGCGGATATATCCCCAGCTCTTGTAAAATTTTATTTATACTTAGTTATTTGTGGTACTAGAAGTTGAACACAGGGCCTTCACACACAGCTACATTCCAGTTCTTTTTTGTTTGTTTGAGATATTCTTGCTAAGTTGTTAAGTTGCCTGGGCAGGGCTAAAATTTGGATTCTACTTCTTCATCCCTGTATAGTCATGTTCACTTACAATAAGGGTGTGCACCACTGTGCTTGGCTCTTAGTACACCAATTTAAATATTTTTTTTATTGTTGAGTATAGATATATTTTGAATTTGTAGACTATTTTGAAATGTTTTGAGATGACTGGATAAAGGCATCTCTCCCTCCCTTTTCAGGTATATTCAAGAGCAAATGACCAAGAACCATGTGGATGGTGGTTGGCTAAAGTGCGGATGATGAAAGGAGAAGTAAGTGATCTTGACACTTGTTTTCTAAGGAGATGCAGCACTTGGTTTCAATAAATGTTATTTCAGTTCTCCGCTTTGTTTCAAAAGCGTACCTCAGAAATCATTGATCACACATTTCCAAAATTTATTTGACCACTGTTTTCTGCTTGTGTTCTGCAATTACCAAAGCTACTTTCTGGAGTTATACCTCAAGCATGTAAAGATCACCAAGGGTACATGCTTATAAGAATAAGAAACTTAAAATTTATTTTGGGTAGATTTGATCGCTGAGACTAAACTCTGCTTAGTACTTGTGCCAAAGGGGACGATGTACTGGTTAAGCTCAACAGAACAGTTAGAACTTCATTTAAAGTTCACTGCTTTTCTTCAGGTGGGATTTTTAAAGTATTTTGATGTCTTTTAGTTTTATGTCATTGAATATGCTGCTTGTGATGCCACTTACAATGAAATAGTCACATTTGAACGACTTCGGCCTGTCAATCAAAATAAAACTGTCAAAAAAAATACCTTCTTTAAATGCACAGTGGATGTTCCTGAGGATTTGAGAGAGGCGTGAGTAATTTTGTTTATTGTTGAATCGCTTTGTGAATGTTTGTTTTTTCCAGTGGTATAAAACTTCCTTAAAAAAAACTTCCCTTGACCAATCAAAACCTCTGATAGAAAATACTTTTTTTAATAAGGGTTTTAATGAAAGATGTCAAAGTACAATAGTGATTTTTGCATTAATTCCTAAATTTAATCTATTCTTGAGGTCTTATATTGAATTAATTTCTGTTTAGATGTGCTAATGAAAATGCACATAAAGACTTCAAGAAAGCAGTGGGAGCCTGCAGAATATTTTACCACCCAGAAACCACACAGCTAATGATACTGGTAAGATAGCATCATAATTGAGATAGCTAATTAGTGGCTTTTATGTAGATTTTATATTAATTTGAGATAAAAGTTTAAGATAAATTTTGTGCGCAGTAAACTTATTAGTATAGTGTAGGATAGAAATTTGTACAGTAAATGTCAGTTACTTTAGTCATTTCTTGAGAAATGAGAAACTGTAACATTCTTAA